TAAAAATTATTATTATTATTATTTTAGCATTTTTAATATATATTTTTAATTATTATCTTACTTATTTTCATTTTTATTATTATTAAAACAATTAAATATTTATTCTAACAAATTTAAGAATTTATCATGCATCAATATAAAAAAAACTTAAAATAACAAAAATAATAATATATAAAAAAAATTAGAAAATGAAAAAAAAATTTTTTTTCTTGAACCAGACCGGTCAACAGTTAGGTCAATGCTGGTCTGGATCGGTTTGACAGTTCAATCAGCGGTTCGGGTAGTCCAGTGGTTCAGATCGGTTTGATCGGTTCACTGGCGGTTCGTCTGGATCGGTTCAAGGCTGGCTGAAGTGGGTTGACGGGTCGATTTATACGGATCTCGGGTTGGATCCGGGTCCACGTGCAAATTCTCCTTGGCTAAAACGACATTGTTTTAGGTCTTTCCTTAAATGACTTCGTTTTGAGTCTCAACATTCTATATAAGACCGAATTTTTTTTCATTCATTTTGCCCTTTTTTTGCCCAAAAAAAAATTACAGAGCTCCCCAGTCGACGTTCGACCTCCAATGTTTGTGCCGTCGTGCTGGTCCCACACCTACTGCCGTCGGTGGGCCGCCGTCGGTGGTCGAAAAACACAAAACTTTTTCAAATGTTCACCTTATCGTGATCGTTTTAGATCTGGTGCCCGTTTTTGCCATAAACTACCCCGATCGCTGTAGATCGGGGCTCAAAGCTTTCGGTCTTCTCTCCTTCTTTTTTTTTTTTTTGTAAAACCAAAACTGATGTTATTTTTGTTGTAGGTACCTTCTTTGGCGCTAGGTTCCTCCCTACGGGGAGGACTGTTTGTCTTTTTTTTGTTTTTATTTTTCTGTTTGTTTTTTTTTTTTATGGTTGGTGTGGGTTCTGTTTGGGGTTGTTAAAAGGAGAGGTTTAGCTTGGTGTCTGGGCTCGAAACGAGAGGGTGCTGAGGGTAGTATGTCTGAAGGTTTCGAAGATCTGTTCATAGGTTTTTGAGATGGGGGTGTCCGAGAGAGAGTCTGAAGGGGAAGAGGCTGAGGGTTTTAAAGAGCTTCAAATAGGGGGATAGATGGTGGTCGTAGGCGTGGTAGGGTGGCTGTTTGGTCTGGTGGCTATACAGGGGACTGGTCAGGGGCTGGACAGGGGGTTGGTCGGGGGCTGGATAGGTGCATCGTACCAGCCTTCTGGTTTCTGTCTCTTTTTTCCTTTTTTTTATTATTATATTTTTTAAATATATTTTATTATTATTATTATTATTATTAAAATTATTAATATTAAACTGAAATGAAAACAATAAACCCGGATAAAATCAGTATCTACAACTTGTTTTATTTGCAATAATTTTTCAATGTCGTTGTTTAATTTTTTTTAATATTGTATATACAAACAAAAAGTTATTAAGAAACTTTTTATCATATTTGTAATGATAAAAAATTATTGTTACGAAAACTTATTTTATTTGCAATAATTTTTTAATATATTTTTGACATTTTCGTTAATTAAAAGAAGGATTTTGAAAATTAACAAGGAATTTAAAACGGTAGCTCCAAATTCCACCTATTTACATGGCTTTTGCAAATTCCTTCCCTTAAGTCCTGATTCCACTTGTCCTACTACAAAAGATAGAATTTTTTAATTTTGTACAACTTATTATAAAATATAATTGTTATAATTATAATTATAGAAACTCTTATTTATGATTTTTAAATTATTTTATTATATTTTAATTATTTTATTTATATATCAAAATACTTTATTCACATTTCATAGTTATAATTTGGAATTAATATGAATATTTAAAATACTTTTCATTAATATATTCATGAAATTCATTGACATAAATACTTTAAATACATATGATGGAAAAAATATCTTATATGAAATTAACATAATAATTTAATTTAATTAAACAAATAGTGATGAACATTTTAATTGTTTTATATAATGTATGATTATTGATGGAAGATGATTAAAACCTAACTTTTTGAGCATGTATAAATATACTTTACACCATCAAATCAAATATTTAAGTGAAATAATTAAAATAACTAAGTAAACTAAAATAATATAATAATTAGCAATTTAATATTTATCAACTCATAAAAAATTCAATTAATAATAAAATCACCATTATAGAAATTATATAAAAAATTACTAATTATTTTAAAATGATTATACATGACTACATGCATAAAAATACAAAAAAAAAAAATCACTAATTAACAACTCACATTCCCTCTCAAACTTTCAACTAAATTATCCAAAAAAAATTAAAATATTAAAATTTTAATCAATCATTTGCTTTTCCCTCTCAAATTTTCACCTAAATAAGAAAAAAAAAAGCAAAAAATATAATTTTAAGTTTTAAATGGCACACGTGAATAGTTTCCAAAAGCCTTCCAAATTCTCACCTAAATTTTAAGGTAGAAAATAACAAAATAAAAATTCTATTATTGATTCGGTTGAACCAAAATCCACCAAACCTTTCCCACTTTCATCTCTCAAAATTCATCTCTATTTATGGTTCACTCTAACTCTCTCTTTCTTTAAAAATTCATCAATGGCGAGGCCTCTCTCGCTCATCACCACACTTCCTATTTCTTCTAATCTTTTCTAAGTTCCATTCACACTATCTTTGCCTTCTTCCTCGACCCAAGCGGCTAACCACACTATTACTAAACCCAAACTCTTCCTCCTATCTTGACATTTGGTACAAATGGGCTTCATAAAAAAAAATATCTTTTTAAAAAATATATTTTTGATTTCTTTTTAAAAAATTATAACTTCATAAAAAAGGAAAAATCTTTTTAAAAAAAATCTTTTTGATTTCTTTTTAAAAAATTATAAAATATAATAAAATTATAAAAATTCAAAAAGAAAAAAATGTGAGGTGCACCCAAAAAATAACAATAAAAACCCTCACACCTTTAAAAATATTTTTAAAAAATAAAAAAGTAATGAACCCTATAAAACACATTTACAAAAATTTAGTGTTTGGATTTCACTTAAAAAAAAAGTGGGTCTCGCACCTTTTGAAAAAAAAAAAAAAGCCTAATGATCTCGACTAATAAAAAAATGCGACATCTTGGAATCTACATATCAACAAACAGATTCTCGTTTCACAATTTTATTATTCAAAATAGGACTTGATAGACATCACAAAACAGAAAAGAGCTTTCTCTCTTACTCATCACTTATTTAAATAAAATTACTATATGGTCTGTCATGGCCATTAATGTTTTATGTAAAAAGCATGCTTCAATAACTGTCCCCAACATAGATCCTATTGTCTTCCCATCGCGCGTGTTCCTTGCGCCACTTTGAATCGCAAGTGGAAGTGGCCTTATCCATCCAATCAATACTATAATAATATAATCAAAATGAGATTAACCACCTAAGACCAAAAAATTTGCTTACTACGCTTCCAAGGCTTTCCTTTCAAATTTCCAACAAGTTCCTCATCTTTTCCTCAGTGAAGCAATAAACTTGTTCATTTGCCAAGCCGCATTACCTGTCCTATGCTCTATTAGCTAGTTCGTATAATTTCATGTGAATTTTTGAGCCAATTAATATAACTCAAACTGGCCAAAAAAATTTTACTCCCTCTGTCTCATTTTCTTTGTTCATTTTTTTTTTATGTCCCAAAACTATGTCTTATTTTCATTTTTAACATTTAAAACCCTTATTTTTTATATTTTAAAATTATTTTAATGATTTTTTTTGTACTTTTTGACATTAAAAATTATGAAACTTTAATTTTATAAAAAAATTTTATTTTAATATTCAATAAATTAAAGTCAAAATTTTTTTTCTTAAATTATATGAAAGTCAATGCAAGACAAACAAATAGGAATGTAGGGAGTAATATAACTCAAAGGGAAATTTAATGATAATGAGTTTAAAAAACTGTTAATAAATGCATGTTAAAGTCACTTCCCTTGTGATTACCCTAATTTGAAAACTTTAAT